ACACCTCTCAGGCAAAAAAGTTCTGGAAAGAGTTCAATAAGCTCTTCAAACCCCCATCTGATCAAATGGTTGAAGCTCTTATCTCAGAGGATGGAACTATTCTCACAGAAAATGCTGACATCGAGAAGGAAATGTTTGGAACTTTTTTCAGGCTAAACACATAGTTCATAATATCGATCAATTTGATGATGTTTTCTATCAGGAAATAAACAACCTGTATGACAACATCAAAAACAGCAACTTCCAGCCCAGTGAGGATATGGCAGATAGATTTACAAGCAGCTCCGCCCTTTACTGCCCGGTTACACCATGGGAGATCACTGCTACTCTGAAAGGTATTCACTCTACAGCGGCTAGTTTTGATAATCATGAAGTACATCAGTCTATGCTAAAGAAACTAGGTCCAAATGCAATTCATGCACTAAGCAGGCTCTTCACACTCTGCTTGCGTAATGGACTTTGGTTGTGGAACGACTCTAAGATCGTGTTCCTCAAAAAAGATGGAAAGTCCTCATATTCCAAAGCAGGTGCATACAGGCCAATTTCAATCTCCTCGTATGTAGGCAAACTGCTTGAACGAATCTTGGCACAACGACTTGAGGTATATCTAAAGAAAGTGGGAATTATTGATGTAAATCAGGAAGGTTTCTCCAAAGGTAAAAACACTATCAGATACCTCAATAGGCTGACTGCTGGTATTAAAGGTGATATTATGAAGAAGCTTACGGTACTTTGTTTGTTCATTGACTTCGAAAAAGCTTTTGATTCAGTGTGGAAAAAAGGACTAGTTGTTAAGCTCTGGAGAGCTGGCGTTCATGGCTGCTATCTTAAAACTATAGACAGCTTTCTGTTTAGTCGTACAGTTTGCCTTCTAATAAATGGATTTCTCGGCCCAGTTAGAGACTGCCTGGACTATGGGTTACCACAAGGATCTGTGCTGTCCCCTATTTTGTTCAAATTCTTCATTATGGATATCGAGGCTGTCTGTTCAGTGTACCAACAGATTAGTGTCTTGAAGTTTGCTGATGATGGGACAGTTAAAGTGGTTGGCAGAGACTTAGAAGAGTGTCTTTTCTATCTCAACCTGGCTATGGACAGCATTGAATATTGGACACCTTGTTGGCGCCTGGTTATAAACTGTGATGCAAATAAGACTGAGATTATATGCTTCAACTCATATGATCAAGCCGGAATCCCAACCTCATTCAAACTAGGAGGGAAACTAATTCATCTAACAGATCAAACGAAAGTTCTGGGTGTCATACTAGACAGTAAGTTGACCTTCAAACAGCACAGCAAGCATGTCTACAATAATCTAGTCTACCGCTGGGTTTGTATGAGTCGTTACGCAAACAGAAACTGGGGCATGAACCAAGCAGTGCTAGTTAGAGTTGCCAAAACCATTCTCTTCTCAACACTGTTCTATGGATCTATTATATGGATGAAAAATTCAAATATGACAGACATAAACAAACTGTGGTACAGAGTGTCTAAAGCTGCAGTCGGGGCTGTTTTCAATGTACACGGGGCCATTCTTGAAGTCATTCTGGGTGTACCACCACTCCAAACAATGGGGAGAGTAATTTCGATCAAACATTACCTTAAGGTTCTCCATGACTCAGACGACATTCATTTTGACTTCGTGAGAACTCAACTAGATGAAATGAACCCAACAGTACTCTTCCATCTCCGAGACGTGCAGAAATTCTTAATATGGAAAGTAGAACATTTCAGCACTGAAGGTCAGACCTGTCACTTAACCCAGAGAAATCTAGAACAAGTTCTGTTACTACCCAAAAAGATTTATAAGTACACTAAAGGAATGATGCAGCAATTCACAGAGCTTCTTTGGCAAGAGAGCTTACAAAACCTACTACTGACGGAAGGATGGTCTGAAATTCCAAGAGTCTCCTGCAACCCCCTTCCTATCCCCTTTGGAGTGAGCCGCGAAGTGGAAGTATTAGTTATGAGTCTCATGTACAAGAACAATCTACTGAACTCGTTCCTCTTCAGAGTTGACAGAGCAGTGGCCTCTCCGCTATGCATCTGTGGCTCGGATGAGCAAACAGCACTGCACCTACTATCAAGTTGTGAGCTTGTGGACGCGAATCTACAATGTCAAGCTGAACGAATCATCACCCTGTGTAACAGCGGTAGGTCCATGGTCGATCTAGCAGCTGAGCAGGGCTCCATCATACTGAACTGTTCAAGGGACGAAATGTTTATAAGTGTGTGTGTTGAAATTGTAGAAAGCGAGGGGCTACATCTTAAGCGAAAGATTAATCTTTCGAAAAGATTAGGATTTATTATAGCATCTAATTTTGCTAATCTTGCTACTACTATGATAAAGAATGAAATACCATGTATATTGAAGTGTAGTAAAGTGTTATTGGACTTTGCTTATTTGATAACAAACACCTTTAAATTAAATATTGTTTTAATAACAAGGGAATGAGTTTTTCTATTTGAGCTGTTTAGTTCAAAGAAAAGCAGATATGGACTGCTTTAAAACTTTTATTTTGGAAAAAGTTTGTTTCAGTAACCATTGAGAACCAGTGGCCTTTTGTAACTGCATCTTTAACCTCAGTTTCACTTTGAAACGTCAAGTGACTGGTAAAGTCAAATATTCTGTTCTATGAACATTTATTCTAGTATTTTGAAGTGTAGAAATTGTTAAGATCTTTAATTTTGTACTAAATTACTGATGTTTTATAACGTTTTAACGGGGTGTAATTTTGTTAGGTAGGTATTTAAAATTATTAGTCTTTTGGAAATTGAAGTTTTGATCTTTACTATTTATTGTTAATAAAATGCTCATTGTAGCCAGTTATTTTAAGATTTTCATCATCATCATCATATTTAAAACACATTTCGTGCCAAATTGTTATTACACGGTCGGAGGAAAGGTTGCCAAGTGTGTCAATAAAATTTTAACACATTTGGAAATTTTATACATCGGATTTGATTTAAGGTTATTTCTAAATTGATTGATTTGATTTAGTGTCCAAAAATACACCAAAGTAAATTATTTATTTACTGGGCCGCGCTCAGCCAGTCATTTTGTAGGTTTACAACCTACCAGGACGCGCGCCGAGTTGGACTCGTCGACGGTCCAATATATGGAACAGATATTTAACGAGTATCACCCGTTAACCAGTCATTCCGCCTAATCTCTATCTTTAATGTTGTTTAACAACATTAAAGCCTGGGGTCCTCAGATAAATTATTTATATACCCTCAAGGCCTTTTCATTTAAATTAGGGCGAGCTAATATGTAGTGTGTGCGATTTTTTGGAGATTCGAACTGATAGTTACCTGAGGACCCCAGGCTATTATGTTCATAAACATAAAGAATAAAGATTCGGCGGAATGACAGGCAGAGCGCCGCCCAGTAAACTGATAGTTGACGGTGCAGAGAGGCACTCTTAAAAAAGGCAGACCCCAACTCAAATTAAATAAATAGCTGAGACACCTCACGGCAAGTATAGTAGACCAAAGTGACTATTGCTTGTGAACGGTGAATCAACTACCCGCTGAAGCTATCATGCTTCGTATGCACCTCAATACAATGCGAAACAGCAATTACACTTTCGCTGGTTTTTGAGAGGACAATCCGACTTGTTTATTGGTTAAGCATTGGGATCATGCCAATATGGGTAAAGATGAAAGATATGATAGTACCTAGAGACAGTTATATACTGGTTTGACTGGTTGCCAGTTTAAGCAAGAACTGAGCTTTTTTTTTCGTGTATTAATTTAATGCTATATAAAGACTATAAGGAAGAAATTATATGGCTTTTATATCGTCAATTAACGATGTTAAACTTTATTTCAAATTCACTCCACCACAGCCTGTCACTGCCATATCTCCGCCATAATATTAACACTAAGCCTGGGCCTGGTGATGGAATCATTGTTTTACTATATCTTTCTTTTTACTACAATGTAGATGAACTGAAGCAGAGGCGGCTCGTGGGAGCTGGATGGCAGTTTTGTTGGGGGTCCAATCGATGGACTGGGGGGGGGGGGGGGGGGGGGGGGGGGCTTGGGAGCCGGCTCAAGCTGATCCCGCCAAACTACTGATTACATTACACACAGGGCCTTGTAAATGTAATGTGTAACACTTTACAGGCGACAGCAAACAAACACAAAAACTTATAACATGGTTAAGAAGAAACTTATCTTTTTTGATTTACTTAAATTTTGTTTTACTTTTGGTATGGCATCTACTCATTTTTACCCTCATTATTGTTATTCATACATAAGTTTTCAGTTACCAAGACGTCCAACCTTTCTTTGGACAACTTGTACTTCAGGATTTAACACACAGTTAATTTAAATTGTAAACGCTTCAAAGCACATCATTGCATCCGTACACTGAAAATACTAAGGTGTCCTGCGGTCAGCCCCATAGACAAAGCTATCAGAGTGCACGGCTTGAGTGGTGTTCTCTTGCAAGAGAAATATTTTGGTTAGGTGACAGTTTACACTCATTTTGTTTTAGTTTGCTGTGTGGCGTGTGCGTGTATTACATTATTCATTCGATATGGAAAACCCCATGAGTCCAACGACAAAATGTCCTATTAAACCGCCAGCCAGGACACACGAGCTGCCTCTAGCTCTGTGTATTTATTGCAATGATGTTTTCATAGATGTAATACAAAATGTCTTGCCATAAATGGTCATTGCACTTGATTTATTGTCATCCATTTGCATTGGCCCATGATCGTGGGAACTCCATCTCTTTCAAAGGCCAGTTTAATGTTGTTCTAGAATTAAAATATTCTTAGTAGAGTCAAATTTACAGTGCTCGTTACTGTAGGTTGTTTTTTAAATAACTTGGGATTTATAAGTAATATCTGATCTTGTTCAGTAATGTATTATCTGAAATTATTTGCTAATTATAAGATAACAGTTTGATGTTTCATAAATAACATATAAATGAATTTATTGTGAACACAGAAAAAATAATTCAATAATAATAATCTGATCAATTTTAGGTCGGCAGTCATGTCTTTTGGCAAAGAGGGTAAGTTAACGTCTCTATCATATCATTTAAACAAGAAGAATGCATTTAAACTTAATGGAAAATGAATAGCTTAAGGGATGGTTCACATACTAATGTGAACGCTTCACTTAAATGATAGCAACAAACTTGCTAAAGAAATAAACAAGTGCTCCTGCTCATAAAGTTGATTTGGTAACAAATTCTAACCAATCAAAGATACCTTATAATAGTGTATATTGAATTGCTATAACATGTCAGATGTTGACCGGATGGTGGAACTAATACAAGACTACAAGGACAACCTGACCTACCCTAGTGACACTAATTTACAAGAATGCATGAAGAGGGTTATCAGTATGTGCCAGAGTGAGCTCTTCAATGCTCTACTTGGTAATTTGCTTACATCAAACTTTTAAATTTCTATTTTACAATTTTCTTCATCTTATTTGATCCTTTGATTGCTTTGAATTTGAATTTTACACAAATTTGTTAACAAGGCTGATGTAAGTTTTGCATGTATGCAATGTCATAACAGTCTGATTGATTTGACAAAATATAATAGTTATATGGAAAAATAACTTGTAAAGGATAAATCCTTTACATGTTATTTTTCCACTTCGCCATATATCATCAGCTCTGATATTACCATCTTCACGACCATGATGATCTTTATCTAACAGCCATATCTTTTATAATATCTAACAGTCATATATTTGTATTATATCATGCACCTTTACTATGCTTTAACAACTACTTTATACTCTGTATTATAAATGTGATCATCACTGATGATCTCACATCAAAAGCTCTGTTGCTGCATTTTAAATGCAATTATACACACGAAAGAGCAAGTAGTGCTTCTCAGCATCTAACGCACAAGTACTGGTGTTTAAAAAGTGCCTAAACAAGCCGATGAATGATGTGTTATGTTAATAGTATGCATCACAACTTTAACAAATTGTACTGCACAGTTCTCTAAACAAAGCAAACGTGTATTCTTTTCATATTCATATCAAACTTGTATCTTGTGTTCGAATAAGCTTGAATATAATAGGCTTGTTTACTGGCAAAGAATATTCTTTTCTTTCATTTTAAAAGAAAATCAAGATCTCATCTTAACAAGCATTCAAGTCCGATTATTATATACATGTACACTGATACAGAATCAATATATATATATATATATATTATATATACAATACACTTGCACTGTAGTATTACACTAGATCAAGATACAGCCCCAGACCTCTCTCTCTCCCTCAGATATACACGAATACCACAAAGACGTACTGTTGAACAGCGCCGCCCCCGCCCTCCTCAACAACACTCCTCACATCAACAACAACAGCAGCGTTGCTTCAGAGAGACCTCATCCGGGCCTTAACTTATCTGCTGCTCCTCCCGAACAACCTACTTTCAGGTTTGTAGAAGTGTTTTTAGAATTAGAATTAGAATTAGAATCAAATTTACACAGCAATATAATAAAAATAGTAAATAATTTAGAGATGCTTCGATCTGTTTTGTGCTATGGAGTATCGAGTCCTGGAATGTTGTGGCCTGGAATGCAAACCACCATCCCGTTAATGTGCCCCAAATTTGATATTGATGCTCGGATTATAGTTTATAGTTCTACTGTACTTGATTGTATTACAGTTAAAGTAGCGGCAGTGGTTTACAACTAAGTACAAGTTAAATATCGGAGAAATATTTTAAATTGCGTATTATTTTTACTTGATAAAATTATTTTTAACCGGGACTGTATTTTGCAGACCAGAAGTTAGTACACTTCCAAAGGCACCCCCAGCAGATGACACTGTCACCGAAACCATTCTCCTGGAAAAAGGACGAAACGGTAAGATATTTTGTTTTTCTGATATTTTGTTTTTCTGATATTTTGTTTTTCTGATATTTTGTTTTTCTGATATTTTGTTTTTCTGATATTTTGTTTTTCTGATATTTTGTTTCATTTTCTTTTCTGATAATGTTATGTTAGTTTTACTCACGGTGCACTTGAACGTGTTTAATGCTATTTTCTTACGTTACACCGAGTATATTCATATTCAATAAATTGTATACTATTTTCATAGTCAAAATTCTTATATAATCAGCTTGTACGGTCTGTGTTCATGTTAAGTATTCCTCAACCTACACCCTTATCTTATGATCTCGTTTTACTTCACCTTATCTTATCTCTATCTTATCTTATCTTATTTGCAGGTCTAGGATTCAGTATCAGTGGTGGTTACGACACACCCCACTATCCAAACGATAACAAGATCTACATCACTAAGATAATACCAAACAGTGTTAGTGACATGGACGGAAGGCTCAAGTACGTGACATTTCGTGTTTACTTTATCACGTGACATTTTAGAGGGAGGGGGTCGGCGTGTAAAAGGGGGGGGGGGGGGGGGGGGGGGGGGGGGGGGGGGGGGCAGGGTGGGGGCATGTAAAAGCTTAGGCTAGTTGAACTTGTACACAATATTTTAAATGTGTGAAGTGGCTTATAACAGACAAATAGCTAAATATTGCTTACGTAATCTATGAACGATCCCTAACTCTAGTAGTCTAGTACGTATCATGTTGTGCCAACTGTAGGGTCTGTTTAGGTCAGGTGACTAATGAATATCAACTTTGAGATGGTGTACTATATTATAATGATATAGAACACATTGAAAATATGATGTATCTAATGTCACTTTCATTAATATAATATCAATATTGTTTGAGTTATTTAGTTTTACGTCTTCAATGTTGTCTTTGATATTGCTGATTTTTCACTTCTATTATATAAAAAAGATTCTAATCCCGAAAAGTTTTAAAAATCACATTTTATAATTGCACCCCTTTTAAAGCTCTAAATTCGCCGTTTTCAAGCGTGCAACTTGCGGGTGTGCAAGATCTTCAACCCGTAGTTCTGTCCTATAACTTGTGTCAATGAGTCGTACGTTTGCTACTGAAACATGCAATATGGCTCTACTACAATTTCTATTTTAATTTTTTGTAAATATAATATTTGTGAAAGTTTAAAATTTAAAAAGATCACGTTGGCAGTTTATCTCCTGTATTACAAACAAACCCTCCACAGGGTGAATGATTGTCTACTGAAAGTAATGGATAAGGACCTGGAGAACGTGTCACATGATGAAGCTGTTGATATTCTCAAGAATTCTCCACCAAGGGTAAATACCAAATATTACAAGTACTAAGTTACTTTCGTGTGTTAATACTGAGTTACTTTCGTGTGTTAATACTGAGTTACTTTCGTGTGTTAATACTGAGTTACTTTCGTGTGTTAATACTGAGTTACTTTCGTGTGTTAATACTGAGTTACTTTCGTGTGTTAATACTGAGTTACTTTCGTGGGTTAATATATAATACTGAGTTACTTTCGTGTGTTAATACTGTGTTACTTTCGTGTGTTAATACTGAGTTACTTTCGTGTGTTAATACTGAGTTACTTTCGTGTGTTAATACTGAGTTACTTTCGTGTGTTAATACTGAGTTACTTTCGTGTGTTAATACTGAGTTACTTTCGTGTGTTAATACTGAGTTACTTTCGTGTGTTAATACTGAGTTACTTTCGTGTGTTAATACTGAGTTACTAAGTTACTTTTGTGAGTTACTAAGTTACTTTCGTGAGTTACTAAGTTACTTTCGTGAGTTACTAAGTTACTTTTGTGAGTTACTAAGTTACTTTTGTGAGTTACTAAGTTACTTTTGTGAGTTACTAAGTTACTTTTGTGAGTTACTAAGTTACTTTTGTGAGTTACTAAGTTACTTTCGTGAGTTACTAAGTTACTTTCGTGAGTTACTAAGTTACTTTCGTGAGTTACTAAGTTACTTTCGTGGGCTACTCTAAGTTACTAATATGATAATATGTTATTATGAAGCATACAGTAACACTCGTTACACTAGGTACTGTTAACAATCGAGAGAAAGCAGCAGACAGAGAAGTTGGTACCACGTGTTATTGAAGTCTCCTTGAACAAGGGGGAAAAGGGACTGGGTATCTCTATTGCGGGAGGAAAGGGAAACCAACACATTCCTGATAGTGACGGTATGTTGGTATTATCATATACCTAATACCTAAAACTCTCAATAGTATAAGATTAAAAACTCCGAATGCTCCCGATTGACGATTAGACAAATTTTGAGAAGTTTCTTGATATAGATAAGCTATTTGTCTCCTGATACAATGATAACAATGATAACGATTATAACAGGGGGGGGGGGTCCAAGGGGAACTTTGGGGAACTTTGGGAAAGTCCCCCAAGATTTCTGAAGTTCCCCAAAAAAAAGTTCCCCAAAACTCCCCAAAGTTCCCCAAAATTCCCCAAAATTATTTAAAATTATTCAAAATTATTCAAAATTATTCAAAATTTCTCTAATATACATTAATACCCATTAATGTTAACATGTATGTTATTATAAGGTATAATCTTAACTTACTTTGTTGATACTTGCAGCATGATAATTTGTTTGGCATTATAATTTTTTTGGGGAACTTTGGGGAATTTTGGGGAACTTTCTGAAGTTCTCCAAAAAAAAGTTCCCCAAAATTCCCCTTTATTTGGTTTTTTTAATTTTTGTTCATTGATAATTTTTTGGGGAACTTTGGGAAACGTCCAAGGTTTCTGAAGTTCCCAAAAAACAAAAGTTCCCCAAACTCCCCAAGTTCCCTTGGACCCCCCTCCCCTTATTATCTAATACCTACTTCAGTGCTTTCTATTTTTCTTACTCGTAACTCATCTTCAATATATGTGCTAGTGTTCCTTACTCTCAGTGAGTATCTCAAGACACTGATGAAACTCTCATTGGGCACGCGATATTCGTAATTATCCGATACAGTACTAGAGCGGAATTAAGTTGATACTTTCCCTGTTCCCACATCATCATTAGATTCATTAATCAGTGTTTCTGCTATCTGAATATCTTTAATAATCTTAAACGTATCTATTTAGAAGGAGTCGCGAAACAAACATCAAGTGGTTGAAATTCTTTTCAGGCCGAACCGAACTCTTTAGTATCAAATTATCAAACAGAGTTGTATCGTTGACATGTATGAACATTGAATACAAGTTTACTGATAGGTCCAATTCTAGAAACTTTGATTCTTAATATTCCAAGTGACTGCTACAATTTCGTGCTGTTCTGTTAGGATAACTTGATACCTCTGGAGATCATAGTGGTCTGTTCCTGTTGATTAGAGATTTAATATTCATATTATATAATTATAGGTGCATATGTACTGTAAGTTTGTAAGTTACACTAAATATACTAGAGTGATTGTGAAAGAAATCGAATTATTATATTATAGGTAGTACGCCATGCCCACTATGTCGCTGTTATTTTATAGGTTAGTACGCCTACTGCCCACTATTGTACTGTTTATTATATAGGTATACGCCTACTACCCCACTATGCACTTGTTTATTAGGTAGTACGCACTACCCACTATGTGCTGTTATTATATAGGTAGTACGCCACTGCCCATATTTATGGTATTATTGGTAGTCACACTGCCCACTATGCAAAGTTGTTTTATGTAGTGTACTCGCACTGCCCACTATGTACTGTTATTGACATAGGTTAGTACGCCCATACCCTATGTAATGTTATTATATAGGTAGTAACGCACTGCCCACTATGTGCTGGTATTATATAGTAGGTACGCCACTACCACTATGTGCTGTTAATTATATAGGTTGTACGCCACTGCCACTATGTTGCTGTTATTATATAGGTGTCCGCCACTACCCTATGTACTGTTATTATTTTATATAGGTAGTTACGCCACTACCACTATGGGCTGTTATTATATAGGTAGTACGCCACGCACTGCCCCACTAAGTGCTGTTTTTATATTAGGTAGTACGCCACTGCCCACTATGTACTGTGATCTATATAGGTAGTTAGCCACTGCCCTCTATGGCCACTGTTATTATTAGGTAGTACGCCTACTACCCACTATGGTACTGTTATTATATATAGGTAGTGACGCCACTACCCACTATGTACTGTTATTATATAGGTCTAGCCCTCTCCCCACTATGTGCTGTTATTATATATTAGGTAGTCGCCACTACACACTTGTGCTGTTATTATATAGGTAGTACGCAACTGCCCACTATGCACTGTTAATATATAAGAGTTACGCCACTACCCACTATGTGTGTATTAATAGGTAGTACGCCATGCCCACTATGCACGGTTATTATATAGGTAGTACGCCACTACCAACTATGTACCTGTTATTGATATAGGTAGTACGCCACTACCCACTATGCACTGTTATTATATAGGTAGTACGCCACTACCCACTATGTACTGTTTTATTAGGAAGTACGCCACTGCCCACTATTGCCTGTTATTAAATGGTAGTACGCCACTACCCACTATGTGCTGGATTATATAGGTAATACGCCACTGCCCACTATGGGCTGTTATTATATAGGTAGTACGCACTACCCACTATGTGTGTTATTTATATAGGTGGTACGCCACTACCCACTATGTGCTCTTTATTTTTATAGGTAGTACGCCTCTACCCACTATGTGCTGTTATTTTATAGGTAGTAGCCACGCCCACTATGTGCGTTATTTATATAGGTTGTTCGCCACTACCCATATGTGCTGTTATTATATAGGTTAGTACGCCACGGCCCACTATGCACTGTTTTATACTGGTCGTACGCCCACAGCCACTATGCACTGTATTATATAGGTAGTACGCCACTGCCCACTAGCTGTACTGGTATTATATTTATATGGTAGTACGCCACTACCCACTATGTGCTGTTATTATATTAGGTAGTTTAGTACGGCACTACCCACTATGTGCTGTTATTATATAGGTAGTACGCCACTGCCCACCTAGGCACTTGTTATTTATAGGTAGTACGCCACTGCCCACTATGCACTGTTATATATAGGTTAGTACGGCCACTACCCAACTATGGCCTGTATTATATATAGGTAGTACGCCACTACCCACTATTGCACTGTGATTATCTAGGGTAGTAACGCATACCACTATGTACTTTTATTATATAGGTAGTACGCCACTACCCACTATGTGCTGTTATTATATAGGTTAGTACGCCACTACCCACTATGTGCTGTTATTATATAGGCCTAGGTACGTTTACGCCACTGCCCCACTATGTGCTGTTTATATAGGTCTTAGTACGGCCACTACCCACTATGCTGCTGTTATTTGATAGGTAGTACGCAACTACCACTAGGTGTGTTTATTATATAGGTGGTACGCCCACTGCCCACCCCACCATGTATGTTATTATATAGGTAGTACGCCACTGCCACACTATGATTACTGATATTATATAGGTAGACGCCACCTGCCCACTATGTGCTGTTGTTATATAGGTAGTACGCACTGCCCACTATGTACTGGTTATTATATAGGTAGTAAGCACATACCCAATATGTACTGTTATTATATAGGTTAGTACGCCACTACCCACTATGGCTGTTATTATATAGGTAGTACGCCCAATACCATATGTACTGTTATTATTTTTATATAGTTAGTCCGCCACTACCTCTATGTGCTGTTATTATATAGGTTAGTAAGCACTGCCATTTGTGCTGTTTTATTTAGGTTCATGTAAGCACTTGCCCACTATGTACTGTTATTATATAGGTCGTAGCACCACTGCCCACTATGCACTGGTATTATATAGGTAGTACGCCACTAACCAACTATGTACTGTTATTATATTATAGGTCGTACGCCACTACCCACAATGTACTGTTATTATATAGGTAGTACGCCAATACCCCACTATGTGATGTTCTTATATATAGGTAGTACCGCCACTACCCACTATGTGCTGTTATTATATAGGTATAGTACGACACTGCCCACTATGCACAGTTATTATATAGGTGTACGCCATTACCCACTATGTGCTGTTATAATAAGGTAGTACGCCACTGCCCCAAACTTGCATGTTCATTATTATAGGTAGTACGGCCCACTACACCTATGTACTGTTATTAATATAGGTAGTACGCCACTACCCACTATGCACTGTTATTATATAGGTAGTACGCCAACTACCCACTATGTACTGTTATTATATAGGCAGTACGCCAATGCCCACTATGTTGCTGTTATTATATAGGTAGTACGCAACTGCCCACTTTGTAACTGTTATTATATAGGTAGTACGCCATGCCATATGCACTGGTATTATATAGGTAGTACGCCACTATCCCACTATGTACTGTTATTATATTAGGTAGTAGTACGGCCACTACCCTAAGCACTGTTTTTATTAGTTAGTACGCCACTACCCACTAGTGCTGTTATTATATAGGTTATACCGCCACTGCCCACTATGTGTTGTTATTATATAGTTAGGTACGCCACTACCACTATGTATGTTATTATATTTATATAGTTAGTACGCCACTACCCACTATGGGCTGTTATTATATAGGTAGTACGCACGCCCCACTATTGCACTGTTATTATAGAGGTAGTACGCCACTGCCACTAGCACTGAGTAGTATATAGTAGTACGTCCACTACCAATTTGTACTGTTTATTATATAAGGTTAGTGGACGCAACTACCCACTATGCACTTGTTATTATATAGGTTAGGACGCCACTTACCCACTATGTCTGTTTTATAAGAGGTAGTCGGCCACTACCCACTATGTGCTGTTATTAGACTAGGTGTACGCACTACCCACTATGTGCTCGTTATTATATAGGTAAGTACTGCCACTGCCCACCATGTACGTTATTATATAGGTAGTTCGCCACTGCCCGCTATGTATGTTATGATATAGGTAGTACGCCACTGCCCACATGTGCTGTATTTAATAGGTAGTACGCCACTGCCCACTATGTTACTGTTATTATATAGGGTAGTACGCCACTAAACCCACTATGTACTGTTTATTATATAGGCGTACGCCACTCCCACTTGTGCTGTTTTATATAGGTAGTACGCACTACCCACTATGCAAGTTGTTATTTTATAGGTAGTTACGCACTCCCACTATGTACTGTTATTTATATAGGT